CTGAACACGGGTGACAAAGAGATGATTATGGGATGGAATTGATCAGCCTTGGACAGGGAATATTCCTTAAAATCTTTAGTCAGTTGTACAATCCCCTTTCCTTTTTTATCTACAACTGTTTGAACCTGATGAAACCTCTTAGCCCTTTGTTGTCTAATTTGCAATTTAATTTGGGGTATTGGTTCCAGTTCCCAATACTTATCTATTAATTAACTTTGTGCCAGAATTACACTAAATTCCTGTGCTATTTATTTGGACAAAATTAAACAAATAGGTTGACCCTTCTTCAGCTACAATGAAATTTTTTTAAAGTATTAAGATCATAAAGAGCAACCTTAAGTCATCTAAGGGTTCACAAACCCATTACTCTCTAGGCGTCTCAGAAATTGGGTCATGGGCTCCCCTGGTGGCACAGTGGTTGAGAATCCACCTACCAATGCAGGGGACACAGGTTCGAGCCCTGGTCTGGGAAGATCCCACATGCCGCGGAGCAACTAGGCCCGTGCGCCACAACTACTGAGCCTGCGCGTCTGGAGCCTGTGCTCTGCAACAAGAGAGGCCGCAATAGTGAGAGGCCCACGCACCGCGATGAAGAGTGGCCCCCGCTCGCCACAACTAGAGAAAGCCCTCGCACAGAAACAAAGACCCAACACAGTCAAAAATAAATAAATAAAGGAGTTCCTTTAAATAAAAATTAAAAAAAGAAATTGGGTCATTTTTTGATGACAGTGGTGCTGCTTTAATCTGAGTGTGATGATGAATCCATGGCTTTACCCCAGCTAACTTTACAGACAAGTGTGTGGTAAGTAATACTATGCGTGGTCCTATTCACCTTGCAGTCAGCTGAGCTTCAGGCCCTGGTTCTTTCCAGGTTTTAAGGAAGACTCAGCCCCAGGTCAGAATGGATGTAAGGCCACGTTAGTTGTGTAGGCAGACCTGCTGGAGGCAAACTCATGAACAGACGTTAGTATAGTGCCCAAAGTTTTAATATAATTGGCAGCTGCTGGGTCTTTTAGAGCATTTGCAGATTCTCCTGCCTGGACAGACACCTTGAATGACCTACTGTACAGCATTTCAAAGGGGCTTAATTTAAGCCTGCTTCTGGGAGTCACTCTGATCCCAGAGTTGCAGGGTAACTGGCAAGGCCTTATCCTGAGTTAAATTAGTCTCTCGACATATTTTAGCAATGCTCCTTTTTAATGTATCGTTCATTTCCTTGGTTTTTCCTATCAGTTGTGGTCTCCAGGATAAATATATTTTCCAATTAATTTGCAATGTTTTAATCCAAATTGGGGGATTATTTCCTTAAGGAGGGCTTTAAACACTCCTGAGGCTTTTTCTGTCCAGGTGGGCTACACTTCCACCCATCGTGACAAAGTGGCCACTCATACTAGCAGGTTATCTGAAATTTCCTGCAGCTCGAGGAATTGAGTAAAGTCTATTTGCCAGGTTCCTCTGTGCTGAGTCCCCACCTGGGGAGGTCTGAAACCCCACTCTTCGGCCTTCTTTGTCCTTTTCTATACAGGAGATCTTGCCCCAAAAGATGGACTGGATACTCTGGCATCTATAAGGAACTATTTCAGGGTAAGGTTCCCTAGTTGGCATTCTAAAGGTTGTAAGAATGAGCAATTTTGTACCCCTCCAAGGACTCCTGTGACTGGGATGGATTGAGATGTTTTCTGTGCCACCTTGGTGTTTACCAGAGTATGTTGCACCTGTAACAGAAAGTTAATCAGCTCATTCCCCACTGTCAATTTTACCTGGGGCTCCTGTGGGGAAATTGGAATTGGGCACCTCAAGTCCAAGGGAGCCCCGCCCCGGGCTTCTTTGTTTATCAGGGTGTTCCTCTCTTTCTACCATCTGAGAGCCTCCTGACTTTTATTGGTTTCCTTCCTATTTAGCCTATGGCAACATTTTTTTTCCAGTACCTTTCCTCCTTACAATAAGTGCATTTGTCCCTTTCCCAATGGTGGCTGACCTCTCTTTGGGTCACTCACCTTCTGGCGAGTGCCACTGACAGAAAAATGGCGTTGTCTTTTGCATCTTCTTTCTTCTGTTGTTGTTCTCTGTTGTTGAACCCTTTAAAAGCAAGATCTACCAAAGGAGAAGGGTTCGTTCCAAATTTACCATCTAACTTTTGTAATGTTCTTCTGTCTGGGGCGCTTTGCCCAGTGAAGATCAAATGTACCATTCCAGTATTTTCAGGGGGCTCAGGATCTGCATCAGTGTAACATCTGTAGGTCTGATAAATCTTCATTTGGTTTTTGCTGAACTTCGTTCAAAATCTTGCTTGGATTCCGCTTTTCAAAGCCTTGCCAAGATGCACTCATGGTAGTGCTCTGATAAGGGCATTCCTCTCTCATCAGGGTCCAGTGGGCTTCAGGTGTACCATGTGGGTCTGTTAGGTGGAGTTGCTTCCCTGGCCTGATTAATGACCATTCTCCTTTCATATAGAGGATCCTCCCTATGAACAAGTCTGAGGGGGAGAAAGGACTCTGCATCTGTAGAAGCCCAGTCTGCTGGCCGTTTGCATTCAGGCCCCTATGGGATAACAGCATAAGGGAAATTGCCCTGCCCCAGGAGTGCCTCCTGGCCCAAATTGGGTCGCATCTTAGATGGTGATACCAGACCAGGTCCCTATGCCCCAGGAACTAACACAGGATTTTTTTAATATAAATTTATTTATTTATTTTTGGCTGCATTGGGTCTTCATTGCTGCACGGGCTTTCTCTAGTTGCAGAGAGAGGGGGCAACTCTTCGTTGTGGTGCACGAGCTTGTCATTGCTGTGGCTTCTCTTGTTGTGGAGCACGAGCTTTGATAGTTGTAGTGCTCAGGCTTAGTTGCTCTGCGGCATGTGGGATCCTCCTGGACCAGGGCTCAAACCCGTGTACCCTACATTGGCAAGTGGATTCTTAACCACTGTGCTACCAGGGAAGCCCCATTCCCCCTTTTTTTTGGCTGAATAATATTCCATTGTATGGATATACCACATTTTAAAAATCCACTTATCAGTTAATGGACATCTGGGTTGCTTCCATTTTGACTATTACAAATAATGCTGCAGCTATGGACATTATATACAGGTTTCTATGTGAACATATGTTTTCTGTTTTCTTGGGTGTCTCTCTTTTTGTGATGTTAAAATTAATTGATGAGTTCAAGTATTA